TATTGTGGGCTGGCACTAGGGCCTAGTATTGGCAAATAAATTGTATTGTAATATATTGCGATTCAGGTACCCGTATTACGATATGTATTGTGATATATTGGGAGCTTAAGTGTTTGACAGTAAGTGACACTGATGGTACATGTCAAGCCTATTTTCTACATTATAAGCTCTGGAGCACAACTCAAAAACATCTTTCAACTAACCTTGGCAGATCTATGATACAGAACCTAAAGTGGTGCCTTTTTGCTATTTACAGATTTTTGTCATTTTTATTTTTCTTGATTTCCATGGAAACATTTTGGACTCAAAAGGGAAGGGTAAATCAAACCTGGGTCTTCAGCATGAAGAGCAGATGTTTTAACCATTAGGTTACCCCACCTCCCCACACTGTGTATTTGAAATGTTCCTTCATTTTTATTTGTCTGAAATATCAAATTAAAATAGTTTGAATTTTTTACACAGTGGTCATAGTATCAAATATTAATTAGTCTGTCTGATAAAATCCTCTTCCCAACTTCATCCTCAAGGCACAGAGCAGACAGAAATTTCAGTACAGAGGTCGGATTGTACTCTGAATATATACACACACACGTTTGCCATTTCCAAAGTGACATTTATGAATATGTTACTTTATAGTTTGTTCTTGTGTTACAAAGTATGTTGAATATGTTTAGCTTTGTCTCAAACCACTAATGGTGATTTAGTTTTAAAAGAGTCCTTATTTTTCTAAACTTGAGCACTGACAGCTCCAACCCATTAGGAATGAGATACTATGATGATATTAATTTATCAAAGTTGATGTTTTGCACAGGAAAGTCATTAGTCATTGTCTCTGTTTCTGGGTTAATATCCAAACATATCGTTTGGTTCAGACATCAAAGGTATTCGAGAATATTTTTTGTAATTTATAACTTTAAGCACATGATGATGGCGATCAGATAACTACAGTCATCTCCACAGATAATATGTATTTATCTCGTTTTGAATTGAAGCTCTCCAATTGGTCAGTTGCAGTCTTACGCAGACCAGTACAAGGTGGCTAGGCCTGTACAGATGTCAACAAGTTTTACAATGTTTGACAAGTCGTGACGTGCTCACCAACTCCCATTTCAGTCTGCACTTTGGGAAATTGCTGAGCGTCTTCTCCTAGAGAAATTGCTTAGAATCTGCTGTTAGAGAAATTGTTTAGAATCTGCTGTTGGAGAAATTGCTGAGCATGTGCTTTTGGAGAAATTTACTGAGTATCTACTCATGGAAAAACTGCTGTGCATCTACTGTTTCAGACATTGCTGAGCTTCTGCTCTTGGAGAAATTGTGTATCGGCTGCTATTTGAGAAATCTGCTGAGCACCTGTTCTAGCAGAGATTGCTGAGTGTCTGCTCTTTAGCTGAGCATCTGTTGTTTGAGAAATTTCAAAGCAGAGGCTGTTATCCTAATTATCTCCATTTTCAGATTTTGTACCTCTGGTTAGATTGAAATAAAACATATGCTGTTTTGAACCTGTGCAAAAATGGTTAACGATGTTCCATCACATATCATGCATTTTATGAAATACATCAGTGTGAACAGCGATAAGATGGCAAATGCAGAAGGCTTAAAATTGGGGAAAACTCAAGATGGAGTTACTTCCCATAATCAAATGTGATAAAATATGAAACCCAAAGTCCACCACTTTTTGATAGGATTCTGTAAGAACCCACCTCACTCACTTACTCACACCCTGATGGTGTTCACTTACGCCCACAGTGAGATGCATGGCCAGTGCCCTCTCATACAAATCCCTCTTAGTGCTAAAAATATTGTAACTTTAATATCTTATCATGGACCTACAAAAAGGCTTGGCAGAAATGTGACAGCTTGGATCTTCTACTATCAGTCATTGTGTTGTCTGTTTAGATTCTGACAACAGGGGTGTGTGGGGTAGCCTAATGGTTAAAGTGTTCTCTTGTCACACCAAATGCATGGGTTAGATTCCCCACATGTGTACAATGTGTGAAGTCCATTTCAGGTGTCCCCCACCGTGATATTGCTGGAATATTGCTAACAAAAAGTCAGGTGTTGTCTATGTATATTCTGAGAACAAACCAAACAATCAGTCATTGTGTTGTCAGTGAGAACAGATCTTCCACAATCAGTTATTGTGTTGTCTGTGTATATTCTGAGGGGTAGTCCACAAGGTTGACAACAGGATCTTCCACAATCAGTTATTGTGTTGTCATGTATATTCTGATAGCAAGGATCAGATCTTCCACAATCAGTTATTGTGTTGGTTGTATCAGGTGAACAAGGATCAGTCTTCCACAATCAGTTATTGTGTTATTGTGTTGTCTATGGTTCTATTCAATGAGAGGACAGAAGTTGATCAGATCTTCCACAATCAATCAGTTGTTGTGTATATTCTGTTGTTGTGTCTATATATTCTGAGAACAAGGATCAGATCTTCCACAATCAGTTACAGTGTTGTCTATGTATATTCTGAGAACAAGGATCAGATCTTCCACAATCAGTTATTGTGTTGTCTATGTATATTCTGAGAACAAGGATCAGATCTTCCACAATCAGTCACAGTGTTGTCTGTGTATATTCTGAGAACAAGGATCAGATCTTCCACAATCAGTCACAGTGTTGATCAGATCTTCCACAATCAGTTATTGTGTTGTTATATTCTGAGAACAAGGATCAGATCTTCCACAATCAGTTATTTGTGTTGATCTTCCACAATATTGTTGATATATTCTGAGAAAGGATCAGATCTTCCACAATCAGTTATTGTATGTATATTCTGATAGCAAGGATCAGATCTTCCACAATCAGTTATAGTGTTGTCTATGTATATTCTGAGAACAAGGATCAGATCTTCCACAATCAGTTATTGTGTTGTCTGTGTATATTCTGAGAACAAGGATCAGATCTTCCACAAGGATCAGATCTTCAATCAGTTATTGTGTTGTCTGTGTATATTCTGAGAACAAGGATCAGATCTTCCACAATCAGTTATTGTGTTGTCTATGTATATTCTGAGAACAAGGATCAGATCTTCCACAATCAGTTATTGTGTTGTCTATGTATATTCTGAGAGCAAGGATCAGATCTTCCACAATCAGTCACAGTGTTGTCTGTGTATATTCTGAGAACAAGGATCAGATCTTCCACAATCAGTCATTGTGTTGGTTGTTTACATTCTGAGAACAAGGATCAGATCTTCCACAATCAGTTATTGTGTTGTCTATGTATATTCTGATAGCAAGGATCAGATCTTCCACAATCAGTTATTGTGTTGTCTATGTATATTCTGAGAACAAGGATCAGATCTTCCACAATCAGTCATTGTGTTGGTTGTTTATATTCTGATAGCAAGGATCAGATCTTCCACAAGTGTGGCAACATTGCCAAGATGTGAAATAACTTTCTTTATTGCGAGGTTGTTTACTTGATACAAAATGTTTCTATGTGTAACAAAACAATATATTTATGTTTATGGTCGTTTTTGAAACTTGCTGCACAAAAGAAAAGAAAACATTCTATCATATAAAACTGTGTTCCACAGGAGATATTGCTTGTGTGAAATCATACAACATCTCCTAGGGGATATCATTTTGACAGTACATTTTGTACAATGCCCTGACAATGTTATGACATCATGAACTTGATGACATCACAATGCTATGACATCATGAACTTGATGACATCACAATGCTATGACATCATGAACTTGATGACATCACAATGCTATGACATCATGAACTTGATGACATCACAATGCTATAACATCATGAACTTGATGACATCACAATGCTATAACATCATGAACTTGATGACGTCACAATGCTATGACATCGCTGCACTGCAAGTTTAATGGCAGTACCATGTTCAGATGTACATTTTCCATTGAAAACTAATGAAGAATGATTTTGGATGATAAATAGAATCTCACCCTCATGTCTACTGATATCAATTATATCAACACTCGTTGATAAAGGTAAATATATCCTCAGCAAGCCTCGGATATTTGTAACTTTATCAACTCGTGTTGATATAATTGATATCAGTAGACACTTGGGTGAGATGTTCTATATGTAGCATGATAGACAAGGGTTGTTTTTACATTAACATAAATAACACAGTGTTCAAATATTATTATCTGGGTCCACAAAGTTAACCTCCATGCCCCTTGGAACCCCCATAATTTTGAACACTGCACATCTGAACTTTTATTCCCCTTACACTTATTCTTGCAGCATCAGGCCAAAATACTTCTATTTTTCGGCGATTTTTGTGAATGTTGGTGCTACCAGTAGGGCAGGACATGCTTACCATTTTGCAAACACCTGGTGTCACCACTGATTTTCAGTGATCCATTCAAATAATTTTCACAGATGGTTTTTCCTTTACAACAAACAGTATTTGTTTCCGAGGATCGTGAAGACTGGGTATTCTTTTACACTGATGTTTTATGTTTATGCCCCAAAACAATTCAAATGTTGGCAAAGAACGTGCTTTAGGGATTTCTGATAGAAATTATATAATTTTAAAAATCATCTGCAGATATTGCTAATGACGAAGCTTTATCTTTGTCAGGATAAATCGAATCTTGCTTTTTGACAGTCTGAAAGATAATCCCACACAAATCGAGTAAAGCCATTAAGCCATCTCCAGCGAGTTCACAGTGTGGAAGCAATCCTGTAAAGGAGATGTCTCTCCAGTAAATATCCCTCACACAAATGACTCTGGGGCGTAATATCCTCACTTCCTCTCACTACTCTGCTGTAGCTATGTGCTGGACGATGCCAACGATCCTGGCGCCATCCATGCATATTATTTGATTTATTTTATTTAATATCACATCACCCATAAAGCTAATCGCCATTACTCCATTATGGCGGCAAAGGTTGCTTGGCAGCCTGGAAATGCAGGAATAGTCGTGAAGCCAACCAATAGACATGGTGCTAAATATCACCTCAACAATACAAGGTTAAATAATTTGATGCGTTCCCTTACAGAAATGGGCCTGCCCGGTTTTGAAACGGCCCCCGATCTTCATCAGGAAAATCAATAGAAGGTTGGGTCTCTGATTATTCCAACGGCAACCAATATCGGCACTCGGCATTTGCGGGACGTTATACACGGAGAGTTCCTCAGTTGGCAACCATTTTACAAGGAGGTACTAGTAATTTGTTTTGCCTAAACTTGATACATGTTTTCAGTGGAAAGTTAGCAGTTACTTTGGGGCTTTTTCCTTGGGAAAGGTTTTAATAAGGTGAGTCCGTAGACTCTAGTGCCACTATCTTTATAAGTTATATGTATTTGGAAGACACCATTTGAATCTGCAAGAAGTTAACTGACTGCATTATACTTTGGGAGACTACAGTCAAATGCTTGTATTATTTGAATGACTGCATTTTGCCAATACTTTTCATTTTCATATCTCTATCAATAACAGAACAATATTTATCATGTAATGTATATTCTCAATAGTGGCATTCATATGAACACAATTCAAGGTCAAATATTTCCCCGTGAATCCATTGCCAGAATTCTGCAGCTACTTCCAGAATATATCTTTACCATTCTTTTGCAATGGAACTGGATGGATAGGAGTGGCTGGAAACATATTTAAGAAGCATATAAGTTTAATTCCGATTCTAACCTTTTGGACAATTTTGGCAATGATGTAATGGGGTTGCAGCTATATGTTGATTAGGGAAGCCTTTAAGTGATCTCCATCACTCAACTAAGAGGTCATTTTGAATTAACATATTTCTCCTGTTGAATTATGCTTGATTCAATGCCTGGATGTGTTTTGTGTTGGGTCTCCTCTGTACAAACACAAACTCACACTATCATGGCGTGTTTCATACAGGTCTCCATGACTTAACCTTTCCAGTTCATTTATAATAAAATGAATGTACCCATATGCATTCCATTTCGTATTTGAAAATCAATTCATCAGATTTGAGAGGAGACTGCTGTAGCAGGCCACAAAGTTAATAGATTTTCTGTCGTAGGAATAAATGGGCAAAGGAATTTAGACATAATTCTTAATATTCTCAGCAAATGAAATTCCAGTGATTGATGTTTATACAATATGATAAGTTTCTCATAGATTTGTTCTCTATTTCATCAACCATTATGGCAAATCTGATATGGATGTCATCTTGGACTCGTCTTTATTGTGTCTTCATGATGTACTTTTGTAGAATATGTTGTAGGATATATTCATGGACATAATTAGATTGACTTAAATAATTCATGACACTTGCGTTCCTGGGTTTTTTTCAGAGCAGAATTTGCATATAATGTATGAACTTCCATTCTTTGGTTGTGTCAGCGTCAAGCGTTGATATGTAGTCTTTGAACTTGAATTGATCAGGTGACCTTGAAACTGGAAGACATTTAAATTTGCATGTGTAAATTGAAATCGTGTTCTTTCTAATGTTTTTGTATTCATGAATTCCATCTTGATCTTCTTGTACATTTAGATTGGGTTCAAAGAAATGCCATACATTAGTTGTTGTTTTTATTGAATTTGAAATACTCCAAAAAGGCCAGACCAACTTAATTTCTAGTTAACACAAAATAGAATTGATTTGAGATTTATTTCTTTAGGATGAATACTTAAAATATGTACAGTATTTTAGAAAAAAATTACCAATGTTTTTTAAAACATGTTCTAAATCTAGTTATAACTTTTAACTTTTGCTGGCATGTCCATAAAGTAAGAAAGTTGGCAGGTTTACAAGAGATATCCTTGGCTAATATAGACTGGTGACTGGGGAATATAGCAATACTCTTGTCAACCTGTAGGCAATATACATTTCTAGCTGAAAGTGCAATCCTTTGGACCAAGACTTATAAGAATTCCATGTGTTGTAGAAAGGTTTAATGGTAGACATGTGGAAGACATTTCCAGACAAATATGTTGTTCAGTGCAATTCCCCTTTTTATCTTGAACTGTATATTCCTGTGTTTGTTCAATTATCCATTTGTGTTTTGGGTTTAGTTGTTTTGTGTACGTGCTGTGTGTAGGTGTGACACACCTATTTATAATCATGCACCTGCACGCCATACAGCTGGATGGTGAGCCATGGACGCATTGTTTTGATATAGTGGGAACTGTGAAATAACAGAGTTGTTATATTTATGGAAAGCATTTTGTCACTGTATTTACATGAAGGCAGATGAATTTAACTTGCAGATGTTACAGATTTCAGGTGGTGAATCACAATGTGTATTCTCATATTCTACTTTCAGCTTTAAATTATTTTGATAGAGTATGGCAAATGGGAATGATTGTTGAAGCATAATGTTGTTTGTTGTAATGTTTCCAGGTTTGTTTACCTATTGTCTTTCATCTGTATGTTACCTTGACTAAGAAAACCTCCATTCACTGATGAATTGCTCGTCCTAACCGTCTTGATGGCCTTATTAGGGCTGGCTATCAATAGAGATCATAGAGATCAATTATCGTTAATTAAATATCAATTTATTATCGATAAATATTGATGAAGTAACTTTGAGCAAAACTGCCAAATACATATATTTTACATCACTGGTGAGTGGTGACATGTTTATGGATGGATTACTAACACAGCAGTCCTGAACACAGTTTGAAGCAGCCCATGAATATAGTCCTAACTTTGTGTATTGCGTGAGTAAAGTAAAACTTTATTCTATGACAAAAGTTTATGTACGATATTATCAATGGCACAATTTTCATATGGATAATCATTATGGAATATATTTCTGATTATCGATCTAAAATGATCGATAATCGGAATTATCGTGACCATGTGGATAAGGACGAGGGTTGGCTAAAATGCCTTAGTCCTTATCCAAGTGTTCCTAAGTAATGATGGTAGAAGAATTAATTAATAAGAAGGGTGGATCCAGAAAGTTAATGTTGAACCATAACAGTCCATCTTAGGATTGTAAATCATGAATTTAATCAGAAAAAATAATAATTAATAAAAGAGCCTAGCTTTTTCTATGTACTTTGTTGTTTAATGCCTTTCTCAGCAATATTTTTGCTGTAAATGGTGGTCTGTAAATAAGTGTGTTTGAACCAGACAATCCAGTGATTGACGTCATGAGCATCGATCCACACAATTAATGTGATGATGTTAACCAAGTCAGTGAGCCTGACCACCCAGTCCATTTGATCGCCTCATATAACAAACACACTTGGGGACATTTTCTAGTCTGGAACATCGCAGACTGCAGTTCATTGTCTCTCCAGGTTCGCAGCACCAGGTTGAATTAATGGCATATATAACATTACTTAGCTTCCAATAAACACTGTAATCTAGCTACAGACCTGTTGTGTTTGTCACAGAGCACAGTGTTATGTCTGGTCATAGTTTGTTCACAGTAGTTGATCCGTCGGTTATAACAGTCGACAGCCCAGCTTCGGTCAACAACACTTTGTTCGGTGTAACCCTGTGAAATAGTCTTAGATTTATGGTCAAAACACATCTCAAGATGAAAATACTGATATGATGTCATGTGATGGTCTTTGAATACATAACATTGCCTGTTTATGTTTTATCATTCACGCTTAGGCCAGACCAATTTTATTTCTTGTTTTACGGATCCGCCGGTCGTGTTTTTTTCTAGAATAAGAAAAAAAAATAATAATTTTCTCCACTCAAAAAATAAATCCTTATGTTCTATTGGCCAAAAATGTAAACCTACAAGAATTTTTTTTTTTATTGTTTTTTGCCCCATATACACTGCATAAATTGCCAGAAGAAAAATACTTTTAATATTTAGAAGGAATATTACTTTGACTGGTGATTTTATTTTTTAAATTTTTTTTTCCTCCTGCCTTAAGGTTTTTGGAGGACAAAAATCCGTAAAACAAGGAATACAATCGGTCTGGCCTTATTTAACAAAGTTCTGATTTTTCAATGACCTGACCTGTCTGACTTGAATGTCTTATTCAGCATCTCCTGCTGTTTGTCAAGGGAATTTTATCCTATATTCTTTCCAATTTTTAAAAAGTACAGTCATTCTCAAACATTATAATAAAATACAATTCATTCTTACTGGCATCGGACCTGTGAAGGTCCGGGTTAGAATTGATCTTCAGTAACCCATGCTTGTCGTAAGAGGCGACTAACGAGATCAGGTGGTCAGGCTCGCTGACTTGATTGACACATGTCATCGTATCCCAAATGCGTAGATCCATGTTCATGCTGTTGATCACCGGATTGTCTGGTCCAGACTTGATTATTTACAGAACGCTGCCATATAGCAGGAATATTGCTGAGTGCGGCGTAAAACTAAACTCACTCACTCTAGCTGGCATGGATAATATCAAGTTTTACAAAAATATCCAATGAAATAAATTCAGATGTATTTAAGGGTGTTATTTTTTATGTCATTTTGTTTGAATATTCAGTGAGACTTTTATCAGTTATAGTATATATTTTACCTTCCATTTGTTGACATTTTTCTGTTACCAGTAAAATCTGATAAACAAAGCTTTAACTTGATTTGGGAAAATTAAGATGTATATGGTAATATTAGTCTTAAAATTCTACAGTTGAAACATATATTGTCATAACAGATGATGACATTTTCCAATGCCCCAATTCTTGCCACATCCATCTTGACACTCAGATGATTGAGATGATGATGAATCCAACAGGGGATTTGGTTTTGAATACAAATTCACTTACTGTAGAATCATTAGTGTCAATACAAGGTGAAGGTTATAGGTTTGTCTGTGACTGGTCACCGGTAGCAACCACCAAAATCAAATGGCATGGCAGTAAGGTGAAAAGGTTATTTTAAATACCGTATTGTGACTATCCAAGAAATTTGGTGTGGGTAAAGGTTAACATGGCTTGAAGGATAATATTGCTGATATAGTGAGTCGTTACGATTTTATGAAGTTTGTAGCAACATTCCTGTAGTCTCATGGCAGAAGACCCCAGAAATGGGCTTCAGACATAATAAAATGTGGGGACTCAAACCTGGACTTTGGTGTGACAAGTGAACACCTCAATCACTATACTACCACACTGTTGGGCTAGACCTTGAGAGAGCAACAAGCAAAATATCTTAGGGAAGACCCTTGACATTTCCTTGTGAACTACCACAGTTAAAATAAGAATTTATTACTAACTTTGTGACAGAATGTTCATAGCTTGGATACTCAGATGAATTTCATTAAACATGTCAAATATCAAGTAACATCAATTTATCTTTAGTTCATCCTCCAAGTGGATTTGCCCAGCACCTTTTGAAGTTTGC